GGCAGCCTGCGTGCCAGGCTCTGAGCAGCGCGGGGTGGGTTTGCAATGAAACGTTGGGGTTAAAACCGGAAAAACAAAAGTACTCCCGCAGTAGAAGAGGCAAGCGGAGGAAACATGCCGGAGCCAAAGTCACTGGAATTTAGGGCTGCTTCTTTTCTGGGGACCCAGGACGGGTAGGAAGGTGGCTGGAAAGTGCAGAAACTCACGTGCAACTGCTGGTCTTGCAGTAACTTTTCTTTACAGAAGAGCTCATGGTCCTAGGGCTGTTTTTCACAAGTACTTGTATGCTGCCGTCTTTCAAGATGTTGCAGTTCTTGCTTGCGCTTCATGCACGTGTTAACTACACTGCAATCTCGGCAGAGGGTTTTTCTGGGTATGCCTTCTTCACTGCCCAGTCGCTTGGCTTGCTGTTCATAATATAACACAAATGAAATACAGTGTTCTTATAACCAATAATTAAACAAGTCTGGCAAGGAACATTGCGGTAGAAAGTTAAAGAATTAAACTTTATGAGGAAGGTCAGCTTTAAATGATTTGTTTAATTATGTTTTAAAAAAAGCGAGAGCTTGGTATGATTGAAAAAATTCTCTACCGTAAAAGCCTCCACCAAAGGCAGAACATTTAATGTAAACTCTGACAGTGAAACGTGTAAAAGGTGCTTGTTTTCTACTTTGATATGGAAATAGATAAACTTATCCATTGGATGACTTTGGATGTAGACTTTGCTGGTACCCAGTGCTTTGGATCGCGTACATACGGGCTGCTAAGTAGCTCTCAGTCTAAAGCGTTAAGAGTTAATGCATTTATCTGTCATGTTCATCTCTGTAGTACACCTATTCTCTCAGCTAAAAATGGCATCTTTGACATTCATAGTCCTTGACGCTTGTGCTGACCTGCTGACTAAATGGTACACTGGCTTCACTACACAGTTTTACGTATTTCTGAGCTTGTGGGCGTGTTGGTTTTGCTTCACCTCAACAAACATAGAGTGTTCAAGCTGACAGATAAAATGTCTGGAGCAACTTCTAAACATTGTTAATGCAACATATGAAATACATGTAGTATGTTCCATACATATTTCAGAGATCAAGTCTCTCCAAAATAGCATAACACAATGTGATTTGCCTCCCTACCATATTTTTCTCAGCAGTGTTGAATGCCCTTTCTTCCTATAGTGGCATCTTTTGGATTTTTTTGTCTTATTTGTCACCTCCTGGTCACCTCTCTTTGGGATTTCATATTTAAACAAGATTCCTCTGCTATGACATAGTCATCTGCTGCTCTTCAATCTTTGACAAGTTTTCTTCATCTCATGAATCCGATTTGAATGTTATGGGCCATATCTGTGCTTCAGAGTGATTTTGTGACAATTTCCAAAGCTAGACTGTATAATATGGAAGGGGGAATTGTTCTGTGGTGATGCTCAGGCACTGAAAATGTTACATTTTTGTCAGTGCATTGTTCGTTGAGCTGCTACCTTTTGCTTTTCAGCAGAACTAGCTGAAAATTTGTGTAGCTATGTTATCAAAGTTAGCTTTCTTGAGGCACTGTACTCCACTGCATGTAGGGTGTGGGTTTCTTTTTATTTTGGATTCTTCAGAGCCTGATTTTGGTACTTCTAATACTGGTAATCATCTTGCTCTCCTTTTTAGGAGCTTTATTAATGTTCATATGCTAAGCTCTCCTATGGAGAAGCTATTCTCAGGTGGTCTTGTATAACAGAATATAAATCTTTAAAGACTATCTCTTGTCTCTGCTCTGGGAGAAATCTGACCTGTTTCTGACACTGAATGATGGTAGATGCACACAAAGGTATCTGTGAATACAGAAGCTTCACAAGATCAGGATGGGTTCTCAGTTCCTACGTGTATAAATCATCATAGTTTGTTAGGGTCAGAAAATGTTTGTTAGGGATAGTTCCTCAATTTTGTTTCCACTTTTATTCATCTAGATTGAGAAGATGACAGCTTTGGAAAGTTGTTGTAATCTTTAATTATTCAGTTTTCTGCATCATTTGAAATCACCTTAGTTTGAGGTTAGTTGTCATTTAAAATATGAAAGGAAATTATTTGTTAAAAAAAGAGGAATTCTGAGAAACAAGCTTTAGGAAACTTGCTATGGTGATTCAAAGTGTCACTACCAGTTAATCTGCTGATGGAGGCAAGTTAGCAGTGGGAAATACCTGTCTGCATCTCAGCTGCTCTGATATGAATCCAGTTGTTTTTTTAGCTTAAGCTTCTGATCAGTATGTGAGCTAAGATGATATGAGCCTCTGAGCTGAGGTGATAGTGCACTTTCCTTCTGCAAGGGTTGTGATAATCTCTGGAAGAGAGACTGGTGTGTCATTAACCACCATTCCCTGTCCCATGACCTATGCACAGATATTATTTGCCTATTCCGTAGCCCCACCACCACACACACCCCCCTTCCCCGAATAAGAGCAGCTGATGACTTGGACCCCGTCTCTGCAGGTGGTCGCTCAGGGCAGGGGAAGCGGTACGTTGGACTCTTGGGTGCCAGGACCCATTTGGGTTGAGTCACGGCAACACCCGCCTGGTTCCTCATGAGGCTCATCCTCCTTTGGTTCAAGTGGGCCCTGCTGTACTGTTCCTGCTGTTACTGTTCCTGTAACATACAACTCAAATCATGGGTTATTTTCCCCCACGTTTAGATCTCCTTGAGCTACACACTGGATTTCCCCATCCTTCCACCCACCAAGTGCACTTGAGCAAACATAATCCCAGAAATGGCTTTGCCTTTTCCCAAGGGAGGAGCAACCCACACTGCTTTTCCCAGCCGCTCACGAGCGCTAGACTCTAATATACACTAAAGTGAGCAAGCTCAGTGACCAGCACCAGAGCCTGCCGATTAACAGCTGTAATGTGCTCAGATAAAGCTGTCATTCTCTGTCGCCCCACATGGGGCACCAAGAAGGACTGTGGTGGGTTGACTCTGCCCAACAGCTAAACCTACACCCAGTGACTTGCTCGTTCCCCTCTCCCATGGGATGGGGAGAAGACAGAGGGAAAATGAGAGGTTAGAGGTAGTGGCAGTTTAATGGGGAAAGCAAAAGTTGCACGCTCAAGCAGAGCAAAGAGAGGAATTAATAATCACTACTTCCCATAGGTGGGCAGATGTTCAGCTGCTTTCAGGAAAGCAGGGCCTCAGCACGCTTAACAGCTGCTTGGGAAGACAAACACAATAACTATGGACATTCCCCCTCCCTCCTCTTTTTCCCTGAGCTGTTCTGTGTTGATTACGACATTATATGGCATGGAATATGCCTCCCGTCAGTTGGGGCCAGCTGTCCTGGTTGTGTCCCTTCTCAAACTCTTGTCCACCCTGGCCTGCTGGCTAGGAGGAGAGGGGGACGGGGCAGGGTGGGTGGGAAAGAAAGCCTTGATGCTGTGCAAACAATGTCCAGCAATAGCCAAAATATTTATGTGTTATCAGCAGTGTTTTAGCCAAAAATACAAAGCACGCAACCATACAGGCTGCTGTGAAAAAAATATCAGCCAGACTTGGTGCATCATCCTACCAGGGAGGTTGTGGATTTGAACTCGTGAAGTAAAAAAACTCACAAAGGGCCTTCACCTGGACAAGTACTGTTGTTCGGAATAGGATTATTGTAGCTGAATAACTAAGGGAGTTTTAAAGCTTTTGCATCTTTGTGCACTTGACTGCATGGTTCCTGTAAGCTTTACTTTTTCATAGTTAAGTGTGCATGCAAAGAAATAAACGTGCACATGATCACGCAGCTATTCTCCATTGATTGTTCCACAGAGCAACATCAGAAAGAGGAATATTTTCTGTTTCTTTCTCCTGCTTGAAGAGTAGAAAGTGGGTTGGTGAAATGATGGAAGTACTTGATGCTTCTGTTTAATTTGGTGACAATTAGTAGATATTAAGTTGCTGGGTCCTCAAGGTACTCACTAGAGAACCCAGTTTCCTTTTCACGTAAAAGAAATTGACAGCTAAATGAATATACTTAACAGGTAGGACATTCTTTGCTTTTGATGTCTTATCCTGTTGTGTTCTTGTAAGGCTTACACATGCTTGAAATTGATCCATATTTTCTGTCAGTCAGCAGAGCTGTGGATGTGTTAGCGAGGCAAATGCTGGAATTTCATAGGTTGATGTGTCTTACTGCTCTAACTTGCAAGTGTTCTTATGTGCAGTGGTCTTGAATTATTATTTTGTATGAGTATTGTGTTGTTACTGCCCAGATATGTAAAATGGGGACAGATCAAATGTGAGAGGATGGAAAAGTGAGAGACATAATGAGACTGTCATGGGGCTGACTGAGTATGACACACGCTGAATGAACAGGCTGCTGCTAGGGAAACAGTTTGCCTTGGTTATACGTAGGAGCTAACTATGCATTTCTTCTGTTTGGTTTTTTGTTGTTTTTTTTTTTTCTTCCCTTGGTAGCACTAACAAGACAACATCTGGGCCTCTGCAGTCGCTTTCTTGGTGGTCTTGGGTTGTTCTGGCCTGTCCACATTGTTTCTGTAGCTTTTGGACTCTGGATGGCAGGTGAAGAGGGATGTTCAGTCTAATGGCCAATTGCTGCAGCTGGTTAAAACGGTGGCAAGAACCGGTCAGGTAAACATGTGAACTTCTCTTGCATTTTTGTGTTAACCTTTCCAAACTGTGTTTCGTGTCCAGTCACCTATGTTTTACTTTATTTGCTGTATGACATTGTTTTGTGTTTTCTAATTCTGAGACAAAATCCGTCATTTTTTTTCCAAGAGAGAATCAATGCATCTTCTGAATTTAAAAATGAAATGTTAATCATCTTTAATTCAGGTACTTTGTTTCTGACTTCAGGAAAGTAGAAGTTCAAAATACTGTCCTTTGCATAATGTTTTCTAAAGTTGAGAGTTATGGGGTGATACTAGAATGTTTATGTAAGATTTATTTGGTTTTTTGTCTTGCTTATTTAGTTTCTGCATTTTGAGATTCTGAAGTGTAATGTGTTAAATCACTTTGTTGTCTAGAGTAGACTGCAGCCCCAGGATGCTACTAATTTTCTTACTGTTATCTAAGTGTCTTAACACTGCATTTTGTGGGTAGACTGATGATCTATTCTTGGTTGTGGAATTCTACTGTTCTCATTTGTTTCTGTTACTTTTAGTTTGACATCGTGTATCCATTTCCCTCCAAATAGCAGAGATGCACAGAAAGTACATAGTTTGCTTCAAACTATTTACAAACTGTGGGGAAAGGAAATACAGACTACACCACACATACATACTTCACACTCATGTAGGAGGATTTGCTCTTTTCTTCAATGCTACACATTTTCAGTTTTACAGAAGGCGCTGCTGTTCAAAGAACTGTATCGGATTGAATAGCTTTCTGACACCACCAATGTATTATAGACAATTGTGAGTTTCTAAAAGGTCAGGGCTGTTCTGATTTTAGCTTACTGTTAAAGTATAATTACTGTGATCCTACTGTTCAATTCTGGGTTTGCTACTCAGAGCTTTTTGGCTCTTCTGAAAGAACTTGCATAAATTATACTTCATGTGTTATGCTATTATAGTTTTAAGACTGGAAATAACCATGGTTTTAGTATTCCTTTACTATAAAGGGGCATAAAATTTAGCAAATTCCTTTGACTCCTCTGAGTCTGACTCTGAGTCTTTGTGAATAGGAGGAACAACTGAGGTGTACACATACATATATTTTTGCTGTTGCTTTGCTTAAAATCCTATCCTGGTGTAAATACTAACCTGTCTATCAGTTTGCTAATATATTGTACATATTCAACACCAGTGGTTTGCACATTTGTTGTCTAGATTGCTCCTGCTTAAAACGCCAGTGCTGCTTATTTACAGTATCTGATGTTGTGTACAAAAGTGTTGTATACTGTGTAGTGGTGTTCAGATGCATTGATTGAGACAGAAATAAATTTCTAGTATAGGCCCAATTCTGAGGCAGAGAGACTGTAAAAATACAGGTGAATGGAAATGAAATTACAGAAATTGTTAGAGACCATGACCACATGAAAAAAAGGAAAAGATTTGCAGTACCGTGAAATTAAATTTCAGCAGGCACATACAAGTTGAAAGCAAAATCATTGTCTCATGTGAAACTTACAGCACAGACTGTAGACTTCCCATTTCATACTTTGTTCTGTCTGATCAGATGGTGTAATTGAACACCAGATACACAATTGTAACAATGCCTGCTACTTGGTATTTTGATACCTGTTCTTTCTACTACCAATTTGTGGTAGATTTGCTGTGCATGTATTAAAAATCTTAATAATGTAAGTCATGTCTAGCTAGAAAAAAAAGAGATTTGAAATATCTTTTTTCTTTTTCTCCTTATGGAGGAAGGTGACACTGATAATGGTGGGTCTTGATAATGCTGGTAAAACGGCTACAGTCCGAGGAATTCAAGGAGGTAAGCAATTAATTTGTTTAATAGAGCATTGAAAGAGTATAATTACTAATTTTCCAGAATTTTAATCTAAAATATTGTTTCATCTCTTAATTTATCTCTCCCTTCCATATTGCTGACAAAAAAAATTTGATGATAGTACCACCAAAAGCGGTACAAATGTGGTTGCCAAAGTGAGCATGTCCCAGGCCCCACTGTATGAAGACCTGCAGCTGAGAGAAAAATTTTAAACAAAGATCCTGATTTTTATTATCCAGCAAGTCATGCTAGCGTGACTTAAAAAGTAGGTGCTTCCAGTCATGTGCTTTATGCTCAGAAGTAGCAGGGCAAGCTCTGCATTTGCTCACTGGCCACTGCATTAACATCATGTTGAGCTAAGGTAGACCAAATCAGTGGTAGTGCAATGAAGTTGCTACTATTCTGCTACAGCTTTTTCAAAGGTAATAGTGTGATGTAGAGACAAGGTAGGTAGTATGGAGAGAGCTGCCTCTTAGAACATTGCACCGTGCAGCATTAGAGCCCTTAGAGACAGAAAAAATCAGTCCATAGAGATGTTTAATTATCTTGGAAATACTAAGACCAAGTGTTCAGAGTACCTTGGTGCTTATGTGCCTTTGAATTGACCACTGTATTGTTAACTGTGCAAGATGCTAAATTACAACAAAATCCGTTCTGGGTCCTTGTTTAAATTTCGTGAGCATCATAGCGTAATTTTGGACTAGAGAAAGGTTTTTTCAGTAGTTCAGTAAATAGCTGAAGGAATGTTGTAACTACAAGCAAGCCGTCTGTCTCCATCAGTTACTTTAAATGAAAGAAAATGAAGGCTGTGGACCACATTCTCTTTGAATTAATGCAGTGATACAAAATATCCTGGTTAATGATGTGTTACACATCTTAGTATATAGCAAGAAAATCAGTAGACTTGATTTCTTTTTTTGTCTTTCTAAATAACTTTCATCTTGTGTAAGAACAAGAGTGTACTTAGTGTTTTGGAAAACTTGGAGACTCCACCCTGGCTTTCTGTTTACACATGTGTAAGTTCACGGACTTGCTAAAGTGTGAATGAAGTTCTCAGTATTGTCTCATTTATATTCCCAAATCTTGCCCTGAAAACACGAGTGTTTAGCCTTTCATTCTGTTTCAAAATCAACTTTAATGCCTTTATCAGCTAAATGTGACAGTTAGTTCTAAAAGTCCTTTTTTTTCTGGGAAAAAATGGGATAAAGATGGGTGTTTCTAAAGGGAAACTCCAGGAAAAGATAATTCTGACTTCTGTGACTGTTTCCCAGGGCTTGAATAGTGCTTGCCTTAGAAAGCAATTTTTTTCTTCCTTAACAGGGCTTTCAGAGATTAGAACATTTGGTTAGTCTTCAGGGTTCATAAAACCAGTGGCTTTCGCTGTGCACCAGTCTTACAGCCTATAAGGAGTAGCCTGCAGTTATGACTGCTGGATTTTAGAAGAAGCCAAATATATTTCAGTTCCTAGGACTCCTGGTCAAATGAGCATGGTCACCAAAGTCGTATTTGCCAAAATGAATCTGCAGCTTATATAGCAGACTGTTTTTACGTTGAAGACCGTTTATTACTGGAGACGTTGCTGTACAGTAGGAGCAGATGCTTCAGCAGTATACCCTTACATTCAACACCATCAAAAACTTTCACCCTTGACCAATCCTCATGTTCACGTTGTTCTCTCTTGTAAGAGCACATACTTATGGCTCACAGTGCAAAATGTTCTTCAAAATAAAATCTGCTGAGTTCTGAAGCTATAGTTTTTACAAATGGAGGTCCCAGACTCTTCTCTTGCTGGAGACTTGGCTTACACTGCCCTGGCCAAGGGGTCTGTTCTGAATCCCCATCTCGGCTGTGTGTGAAGGATTCTCTTAAAAAAGCAACGTGGTAGCAGAAGGCTGATGGTGATTTAGCTTCTGCACTGCTCTTCAGAGTTCAGTGCTTTTGACTATGCCTTTATTTCTTCCTCTCAACAAATTGAATTTTACATTTGTTTCTCCTGCCATGTGCTACTAAGCTACATAAAACAGTTGCAGAGATCCTGTGCAGCCTGCTGTAGGTGACCCTGCTTTGGCAGGGGGGCTGGACTAGATGACCCACAGAGGTCCGTTCGAACCCCTAACATTCTGTGATTCTGTAATTAACACACCTCTGCAGAGACAGCTTAGTGGTTTGAGGCAAGTGCAGGCTTTCTTTGCTCTCCAGAAAGGGAGACAGCAAGCGAAAGTGTTAGCTATAAAGCTATAGATTCCTAGCATATTGCATGGCAAACTGAAAAAGAGAAAATAAAAATACACAGAGGACAAAACCTGATCTTAAATAAAGGCAATCAAGTAGTTTACATCTCAGAAGAATATGGTTTCAGTCCCTTCGTCTCAGCCCTTGGTTGAACTTTTGAAGCTGTTTTGGCAACCAGAAAGGGTAAAGAATAAATTTGGCAGAGCACAAGGTTTCCCAGGTCATAACGCATTAACTGTTTTGTTTGTTTTCCTTCTCAAACTTGGATTAATACCATGGAAACGCTATATAACTGTTCAGAAGGGAGCACTGGTGGTGAGGGGGAAAGTAAAAACTGCAGTACACTGAACACCGCTTCAGTTTAAATGTGGTGTTAAATATTGGAAATTTCATTTTGGGTTCTTTTTTTTTTTTTTCTCTCCTCTCTTTTTTCCCCTGGTGCTCTTGTCTAAATTAATGTAAAGTAACTGGTGGAGAGATTAGTGCGTTAATTTGAAATTACCTGAGGGGAGGGAAAATCTTAAAGTAAAAAATAGATGGTTAGCAAAATAGTGTCACTGAACAGGGAGGGTTTGCTCCATGTTTTTAAAATATGAATTTTACTACACAAATCACAATGTAAAATGCCCCTTAAATAACTAAGGGCACTTTTTACTGAAGACTTTCTTCTTTGAACTCTGACAGAATCTCCTGAAGATGTGGCCCCAACAGTTGGGTTTTCCAAGATTGACCTTAAACAGGGACGCTTTGAAGTCACTATCTTTGATTTAGGAGGTGGAAAAAGAATTCGAAATATCTGGAGAAATTACTATGCTGAGTCCTATGGTGTAATATTTGTTGTGGATTCCAGTGACGTTGCAAGAATGGAAGAAACAAAGCAAGCCATGATAGAAGTTTTAAACAGCCCTAAGATATCAGGAAAACCTGTCTTGGTGTAAGTAATGTTAATGAATGTTCTCCTAATAATCTCAAATTTTGTAAGTTTTGGCCTTCAAGACACCTTCTAAAGGTATATTTATGTATAGCATAAACTTAAGTATAAAGTACACTAACACTGCTGTAACTTTAGCACTAAGCAATATTACAATTAGTTTTACAGTATTTCTGAAGTATTTATTGATGCCAATCTTGGTATCATACTAATGAACAATGTCTTTTCTTTCTTTTATCCCTCCTTCTCTCCCTATTGAGTTGTGCTTGGTGATGTACTGAATCCGTTCACTGCATCTGACATTAGATCTTATTTGGTCCTTCTCAGGGATGTTTAGTTCTCTTTCATTAACAGTGGAAAAATAATAAGGTTTGGTGGTTTTTTTTACTCTTTAAAATTCTAATATTACTCAAAATGGTATAGGTTAAAGGCTTTGTAAGTTTGGCATGGCAACATGGTGTAAAAATATTGTTTCTATTTAGGCCTACATCAACTACTGAAATTGTAAATGGTTGATTATACTTTGCAATACCACTAATCTCTCAGCAATAAATGTCTTGTTCACTTAACACATGGTGGTGCTGCTGATACATGATCAGCAAAATCTCGTTAAAGAAGGCTTACTTCAATATATTTGACATGTGCTTTTGTTTCAGTGCATGTGTTTTAATTAAAAAAAAAAAGTTAAAGTTTCAAAAGGTCTAGAGACATTCTTTCACAGAACAGATAGATTCATGAACTTCCCTGCTGAAGAACTAGGTTTTGTAAAATATTAGAAAGAACATATTTTATTAAATTCAGCCACCCAAAAGGTCTTCAGGTCAAATACCCTTTTGAAGTTACAGAGTAAACTATGTAAGTTTAAAATGGTGTATCAGGACAATATATTTATGTCTGGTGGGGATAAGACCACCATAATGCAGTAATTGCATAACATTTCTATGATATCATATAAAGAATCTGTAAAGCTAAGAGGAGAGGCCTCTTACTTTCAAGAAGTGGTGGTGCTCCAGTGGTTTGAGGGTGAAACCGGCTAATCCATTTTGATTAAGGGGAGTGTAGTTCAGCAAGCTAATAGTGTAGATGTTGAAAAATAGATTAGATTTTAACTTCCGTTGCTACCTGAATGTTACTAGTACAGGGAAGGCAATAAAATGAGCTTAATGCAGCTAGTTTAACTCAAACCTGTTCTGAAAATACAACTGTGACAGTTGACAACTGTGCAGTGTTTCTAAATAAATACAGCTTTAGGATTTTTCCATAGAAATCTCTATGCCCTAGTCTTGTAATGGAGTTTATTTGGGTGGCTGGCTGTAACTGCAGAGAGCCCATTCACTTCCCTGGGACTTCATCCTGCTTTTCGATCCATGTCAGTAGCTAATGAGAAGGCAGAGTGTGTTAACTGAGTGTAATGGTGACTGAACTAAGTCTGTGGATGTTACTGCCTTCTAATTGATTGACCCTCAAGCCTTGAAACAGAATTTGCTCTTGTAGTATCCCAGTTCTGTGGAGTGATCCAGTAGTTCTTTTTGTGCTCCCTATGTGAGCCTGCATCTCGAGTTACGAATTCTTTCCTGTATTGTCTTTGTTTTCTGTTTGGTGTCCGTGTTCATGGTGTAGCTATACTACTCTTGGCATGTTCAAATCATGTAAACCCTAGAACCTGTTCCAGTATTTGAAGCACTTCTTATATTGTGAAGACTGCAAGTTGTGAAGCAGCAAGGCTTGATCAGTGAGTGCTAGTGTTTGTGGTGTGGAAATAGAGTGCTTAGCAAATGAAATTAAACTAGTCCCATGCCCCTTCCCTTCCCTGAAGATGCCTTTGGTTGGAAATGCTAATCCCAGTCACTCATACTTGCCAAATAAGAGTTCCGTGGCATAAACTTTTCCACTGAGTCGCTAAAACTGAAAAATGAAAATATATGAAGAGCAGAATGAAGGAAATAGCAGATTTCCACATTTGTGGTGAAAGTTAGCCTTTTTTAATATTTCTTTCTTCTAAAGATGTTCAGCTTTTGGGTTTTTTTGTGTTTTGTTTTTTAATAATGAGATACTTGATATCAGTGTAGCAGTAAGTTCTCCAATATCTTGCTAAATTTCCAGTCAATGCATTTTAGTCTGTGTATGTATGTGTGAAGGCCAGTATTGACAGAAAACAGAACAGTGACCTGTGAGTATTGAATCCAGGACAGCTGAAGTTTAAGTAATTCCCTTCTCTTCCATGCTCTTGCAGTGCAGAGCACAAACTATTTCTCTTTTCGTAGAATGCTGTTATAATATCATGCCAGAGAGAGTCTCATGCTCTGTGATTTCCGTTCTCCACGAGTGTGTCTCTGGTCTGGACTACTGCTTTCATAGAATCATGGAATGGTTTGGGTTGGAAGGGACCTTAAAGATCACCTAGTTCCAACCCCCCTGCCATGGGCAGGGACACCCTCCACTAGACCAGGTGCTCAAAGCCCCATCCAACCTGGCCTTGAACACTGCCAGGGAGGGGGCAGCCACAGCTTCTCTGGGCAGCCTGTTCCAGTGCCTCAGCACCCTCACAGGGAAGAATTTTTTCTTTGTATCTGGTCAAAATGTTTCAGCGTAAAGCCATTCCCCCTTGTCCTATCTCTCCATGCCCTTGTAAAGAGTCCCTCTCCAGCTCTCCTGCAGGCCTGCTTTCAGGTACTGGAAGGCTGCTGTAAGGTCTCCCCGCAGCCTTCTC